GATTTAACCGGTATTTGATTTTCATGGCTTTACTGCACCTGATAGTTGAGGCCGGTTGGTTAATGTCGGTACCTAGTCCTGCTGAAATGCGCTCGGTCGATTCTGAGTCGTCCTTAATGTATGCCACAGCAGACCGCGTCGTTGGTGGAGTTTCTAACGGGGTCCTCCGCAAGCGAACGAGCACACACTACCTATAAACGCCTCCAGATAGCCATTGCGCATAAAATGGTCGCGGAGATGTCCGCCCTCATGTGTTCTTCCTCGGTTTGTAGCTGTGAGTCTGAACACGTTTGAAAAGTGTTCTTAACTGTTAACTTTGTGAGCTGCCGGATGATTGCCGCGAACACTGGGAAGTTGCGTGGCGTACGCCGTCTTCCTGCAAACCGCCGTCTTTATTTTGTCATTCGGCCTTCACCTGATGAGCACGTAAAAGGCAGTTGCCGTTTCCGTCTTTCTTCCTTTGTGATTTAAATATCGGGGAAATTGAACTGAGGTTACAGGTTATGGAAATTCTGCATACTGTTCTTGTTGACGATATCACACTTGTCGCTAACATAAGGATGCCAAAACCAGCTCATGTTGGGTGAAGGCAGTCTTTGCTGGTTCCTGCAAAACCAGTTCTGTACTAGACCGAAGACCGGGAAGCCTATTTGAGCTCCCTTGATCTGCACAGAAGTTTTCTCCAGCAAAGGTGAAGCAAGTTTCTTAGCAAAGTTCGAACAGCCTCATGAGGTGCTCAATTTTGAGGGGATGATATGTATAGTCGTATGTTTCCGCAAGTTTCTTGCGCAAGACTTCGTGCATCAAACTCGGCAGAATGGATTTGAGTAGGGACGCCACACTGAAAGATACCATGATTTCCTCCGATCTACTTCTCCGACCTTGTAGGTCTACAGTGAATTGGGAGGCTGGTCGAACTGAGGTAGTTGCATTGCCTTGGAGGAACTTCAGTTTCGAGTACATCCGCTTTGGTAAATTATAGATAGGGCCACAACTAGCCGCGGTGGGACATTGGGTTTGCGAATTTTTAGCTGACCATAGATCCGAATTATAGCAAAGTCAATTGTTTGCATTTGGCGACATTCATTCTCCTTGACTGCATTTTTTCACCGGTATTCACTAAGTAGTTTACTCATATTAATTGCCACTGCTTTGACTTGTGCGTTCTGTGGTGGTTTGTAAAGGTCTCTGTCGTCGAGATGGGTCTTAGCTTTCTATCACAAGAGGTATACGTCCCTTATCAGAGGGCAGAATGATACTTCTGTCATTTCTCCCATGCTCCTTCACAGCTTTTTTCTGCGAAGCACGTCGAGTTGGTCTGTGGGCCGTCAGCAAAGAGATAACACATGGAAATAGAACACTTGAGATTTTTAAACATTCTTTTGAATCTTCCTCATATGTAGCTTTGGGGATGTTAGACTTAGTGATTCTGGCGAATGTTCTATGACTCCTCTTTTGTCTATGCACTTGCCAAACAAATTAGGCACTAGCTGCCTTTCTTGACATAGTACTGTGAGGAGATGGGGTTCCATTCAGCCGTAGGTAACATTTTTGTTTCAAGAACGAACTGCCAGTGGGAAGTAGGATGTCGTATTCTAACAGTTATTTTGAAGAAACGAAACCTATCATATCCTTAAAAGATACACCTCACTGGATTACCTTATTTTACATTGCTACTTGCTTTTTCACTATCTATGGCGTATCAGAGCTATGGGGTACGGTAAAGTATGCCGAGCATAAAATTGGATTTGCGGATTAAGGTATGAGAGCGGAAAGGGGTCTCTCTGAGCAACAGTTGCAACTCCGCTCACAGAATTCCAGTCGCCAGTCAATAAAATTATCGCTTATCGTGTGTGGGAGTGGAGTTTTTCTTCACTTTCAACCTGGAAATATCGTTTACTTACTTATGCAGGCAACATAAATACCACAACTTTCCATATAAATTGTAATCACCGGCAACCATTTCGTCATGTTGGTTAGTTGTATATGCTTACTGATATCAACCACTTGAGAAGGAAAATATTAGCATCCAACCATGAGCCGGAGACAGGGTTTGGCTTTGCAACATCCACTAATTTGATCCCTTTTACTCGCTCAGTTTTTACACTTGTGATCAGAGTCTCTGGCCTAATTATTGTACATACTCTCTAATGCCGTCTTGATAATTCTCGTCAGTGAGTTAACACCTTAGGCATTCTCTAAATAATCAAATATGTGAGGTGGACATTGCGAGTCACGGAGGCGGCCGTTAGAAGACCAGGATAAAGTATGTCCGCACTCAGGGCTAAATTTCTGCGTTTGTTCATTTCCATTATAGGTCGAAATGTAAGCACAGACTAGCTAGACAATGAGAATTCTCCACTTGACGAAAGATTTATTCGTGTTGCCATTGGAACGGCATTGTCCACAAACCATATCATTTTAAGTGATTTGCCTCCATTATTATCCTACTTAACATGCAGCACACTATTGCCGAAGATGACTAGATATCATTAGAAGTGTTAATTTTCACTGGCAGTCAGAAAGAATCTCAGCGGGAAACCCTAGTGGCTTGTCATGAGATAGTGTTGCATTTATCTATGTTTTACAAACAGGAGATCTTCTCTAGTAACATGAGCGGGTGAAACTTTCAGTTAAAGTCTCATGACGCTCGAACGACACAGGGCATATAGAGAAAAAATACTGCTGTTGGTTAACCACTGAGCTTCGAGCAAGTACAAATTCATGTACTCGCGGCTTTTGGCCGTTTGTGTTTATTAAACATACTGCTGCAGCTACGTCGGACATGAAAGTTTCGTGAAACGCCTTCTTTAATCCTGTCTGGCTGCCAATCCGTTGTGCAATCCCTAATAAAGAGATCAAGACTTCCTGCAGAAAGGAAGCTCGACCAGTTTGAAGGCACATTTACCCTTTAAAAGTGAAACTAATTTTTCATTAGGAAATGTTGCCTGCAAGTCCACACAAATAAGGGACAGAACTATGCATGGACCTTGCTAAAAACGTAAACTAGCATTTAAAGGTCAACAGTTATTCAACCGTCTTGACACAAAAGGCCAAGCAGAAAGTTTCCACAAACATTGTTGCACATT